ATTGATGTTTTGTGAGCCGCCCCGAGGCTTTATTGTGATGGGGCGGCTCACAAAACATCAATAAATAACAATACAATAAAACCCCAGTGCAATAAAACCTCAGTGCATTCTCGGCTAATTTTTTTTTTAAAGCCTAGTTAAATAAATAAATTAACAATTAAAATAAGTTTTAAATAAAAAGGCCTTAGCTTGGCGCTGAAAAACAAATAACGACGGCGCCAGGCGGACCTCTCTGGGGAACACATTCCATAGATGGGGCGCCACCGTAGAGAAAGCCCTCCTCCAGGTACTCACCCTCCTGATGTCATTCAGAGGGTTCCCGGAGAAGGGCATCTGCTGCTGACCTCAAGGGGTCATCGCATGCCATCACAGCATCAACCAATTGTCCACAGTGAGAATCAGCCCTTCCCTGCCCTCTGCCAATATATCCCAGCCATGAAGGAAGGCAGGAAGAAAGGTTGGGGCAGGAGCTGGCCAAGGGGCTGCACAGGGTATCATATCTGAGACTATCTGAGACTATTTGCCTGTTGGCAGAAGTCGTGTGTTCAGCGAAACGAGTTTCTGGCCTGAGGCAATGAGTTGTTTGGTTGAGGACAAACTTGCTGACTGAGAAACACACTGAAGTTTGTGACAAGAAACATGAGAACACCATCTCACTACCAGGGTAATAGCTCATCTAACATTAAGGAGGATGAGGGTCTTGGGAAAAAGGGTGTTACTGGGAAATGATCAGAGCGAAGGCCTATTGAGTCCAGCATTTCAGTCACACAATGGCCAACTAACAGTTTGTACCACTGACTATACTTGACCACGATCTAGTCAGTGCAACTAAATCTACTTTGCAATCATTTCACCCAGAAAGATTGCCTTATACCCACTAGCTCTAAATGTTTAAACAGCACATGGACATTGTTCTAACAATGCTCCATTCCATGTGATGATTCACATATGCTTAAGGCCACCAGCCGCCAGTATATAAGGAAGGTGAAAAAAGTCAGGTCACAGAGGACTGTTGGATAAGGAAGACAAGATTAAGACAGTGCTAATCACCCTGAAGCACAATTCTGTGGCATGTCCAGCCAGACATAGTCCTACAACTCCCAGCATGCTCCAACTTGTGCTGGCTGCAGCATGCTGGGAATTGTAGGACTCCTTGCTGTCTCAACTTGCATATGTGCCTTTAGTAATGTAAAATTACTAAAGATTTGGTCTCTGCAAGGCGACCAAAGGGGCCACTGAATGGGAATTCTGGTTGTTGTAGTCCAAACATGTCTGAAACGCACAAAGTTGGAGAAGGGTGATGCAGAAGTCTTGAAGGATCAGGCCATGTTTTGTTTTGTTTTGTTAATAGATTCCTTGATCCAAATTACCCAAAACTGGGTTAAATGTGTTAAAATCACTGTTTGGCAGTTGCCATTTTGCATTTTTCACCTAGTCAATTTTCTTTAGAGTTTGGGGAGGGTTACTCTTCGCCCAATTCAAGGTACCAAAGGGGCTGTCAAGCTTTTGATGCAGTGTCATGGTTACAGAACCTTACTCTCTGCTTCCACTAGCCCCCTGATAATGCAATTAATGCTACCGGTAAACAAGGTTCCGGAGTATGTCCTCAGGCTGCCCTGCCCGGCTTGCAGGAGGTGACGCAGGTACCATAATGCCTGCCACTGAAGAGTATGGATCCCTCAACGCATTTGTAAAGAGCCCCCGTCCTGAATTTTGTTGCAGTCTTCATCTCGTAGCTGCATCACAGCCGTTCTTTCCCTCACACAGCTTACTGTAGCACTGTCCATGACCCTTCACTGGCAGCTTTATAACTGTACCAAAGTTTCTCCCTGCAGAGAAAAACCCATTTGCTCTTATTTTCTTAAATGAAGCTGTTCTTCCTAGCCCAATAAAAGTCAAAAGAAATGTGAAATTGACTAGACCAAGGGGAATTACACTTTCCTCTTTAAAAGGGGATATGTGGATACTTACTTATCCTTTAACAAAGGAAACAAAAAGCAGGCACTGAATGTGCTACAAGAACCGCCTGGTAAAGGAAGTGTGTTTTTTGCTGTGGCAATTACCCAAAAAGCACCTGAGAAATTAACATGACACACAGGGGCACCTGGTAGCACACAGGGGCACCTGGTGATGTTTCTAGGGACTTATTCCCGTTTTTCCAAAATACCTTTTCTTGAAGCACATTGCCAAGTTGTAAACCAGATATGACCACAGAGGCACCCCCCACCAAAAAAGGACATGCGTATTACAACAAAATAACAACCTTACAGTAACCTGCCTTCAAGCAGCTATAAACAACCATCAATTACGAGCTACCCTTTCCAGAAACATAAACGTCTTGACTTTCTACATTATATAAAAGAAAGGAAATAAACTAACTATGCAATCCTATACATGTCTGCTTAATAGCAAATGTAAAACAATTCAATGGGATTTAGTCTCAGGTAAGTGAGTATAGGATTAAAGCCAGAAGAGTTAATAAGTGCAGAATTCAGCACATAACAGACACCTCACGTCTGTGTCAGAATGGATAATATTAGCTTTTGACTATACAGTCCTATTTTTAGAATAGGATTCAATTTTCTAGCTCTTAAAATGGAAAAGATGAATGCCTGTAGTTTTACTCCTTCATTGCCTGGAATGGTGAAAAACCATGCATTCCTTTATTATTGAAATCCAAATACGTGCTATGGCTAGCCACTGTGACAGCAAGCGAACTGTGAGCAAGACCGGACCCATTCATTCGGCTCTTCGGCAATCCTGTCTGGACAACAATCAACAGCTCTCCAAATCATGCTACAAACTGGCGCCCTTCAGCCTAGTGCAGGTTTCTGAAACATTTGTGTGACCTAGGAGCAGCACCAGCCATTTCGCTCCACTTCTATTTCCCACTGATGGATCCAACTTACTAAACCACGCCTGGGATCCAAACAGATGCAGAAACAGCTGCTGCAGAGCTCATGGCTTTCTCGGGTAACCTCTGGTTCTGAGAAAAGCCCTCGGTGAAGCTCAAGGAAAGTTGAGAAGCGGTCCTCGGCACAATAAAGCGACTTCAGCTAGGAAGACGACAATGTCTGTGGCGATGATTTATGTGCGCATCTAGCTCCATCACACTCCAGGCGGTCATAAAACAACTATGTGGCAGCATTTATTTATTGCATTCATAGACCACCCAACAGGTAACATTCTCTGGATGCCTCATAACAATTAGAACCATAAAATAAAGCATGATCAAACATAATATAAAATTTTTAAACCTTGTAATTAATATGGAAGGCAAAAGAAAGAAGCAGCTGCAATGCTTCTTCAAAAGATAAGGTAACAGATTTAAAAACTAAAATGCCTGGGAGAATAAAGGGTGCCTAACAGACCAAAACATAAGCACCGTGTGAGCCTTTCCTGGGGTGGCAACCCACAACCAGGGTGCCACCAAGGGAACGGCCTTCTTCTAGTACAAGCCACACAACTCACTCCTCAAAGAACTGATGCTATATGTATTTTGTTTAAAGCAGCAAGAGAGGTTCAACTGTTACGCCTAAAACTCTATTTTCCAACCTGGCTGGGGGCTGTAGAACTCCCCCCACACCATTAAAACATACATGGAAGTGTATGTTACAGCAAAGCTCACTTGGTCAACCAGTGACATATTACACACTTCGCCTTGCACAATTCTAACTGCACTTCAGTGTCAACAAAGGGTCCTATAGGAATGCTATGAAACGGTTCATGAAATCATAGGCATTGGGGTGCACTGCACTGGCCCACGTAATCCTGCCCCAAGCGGTCTAAAACAGGCGTGGCCTTCTAGGTGTTTTGGCCTACAACTTCCCACCAGCTCTTACCATTAGCTATGGGGGCCAGGGCTGACAGTAACTGCAGTCCAAAGCACATGGATGGTTACAAGTTGCCTATCTAAAGCATCAAGAGCTGCCAAAGAGCTGCCAAAATGAGAACGTCACTACTGGGCAATGCCAAAATACGGCTAACACCCATTGGTCACACCCAACATACAAGTACCAATTTGAAGTTGGGAGAAAAATTTCCCCAAGGTCAAACCGGCAACAGCCAAAATGAATCACTTCCGTTATACTTACACCATTTGTAACTGGCCTTTCTGGTCTCCCCACTGCCATCCAAATGGCCTTTCCTCCCTCTCTGATTTTGGAGAAGCAACCTAAATGGAAGCTAAGAGGGGAAAGGCCTTGGGTATGTGAACTTGGAATAGTGTCTGTGCATCAAGTGCTGTTTCAGCCTCAGAAGAGAGAATCGGAGGAACCCGCATACTCCCTGGGATGCTCTCACAGGCACTACAGGATTGCTGCCTAAGATCAAGTTCAAGTCTGCCCCTACCTAACAGGATTGTTGCTCTGAAGATAAAACAGACATTAGGTGCGCTGGGTTCCTCACAGGGAGGAAAGGGCAATGCGGATGAATGAAGTGAGGGGGAAATGGCTGGGAGAAGGGTCTTCTCCATGACTGCACCCGCTTATGAAATGCTCCCCTAAAGGAAAGCAGGGCTGGTGTCATCACTGCTAACCTTTCAGCACCAGGTAAAGGCTTTTTCATTTAGCATGCATTTTAGGTAGACAATTTGGTTTTTATTCTGTAAACTAACTGCTGCTCACTTGCTGTGTTCTGCTGCGAATATCCAATTTTGTATTTTTAACTGGATTTTATTCTTGTAGTCTTGATTTTATTGTCCCATTTTATTGCTTTTAGTGCTGTCTGTTAAGCCACACTGAGAGCCCTTGGGCTACAGAGTGGCATATAGATATAATAAATAATAAATATAACAACAGCAACCATACATTCCTTTTAGAAATGGCTGTGATTCGTTATGCTCCAACCCTAAAAAAGCAAATTTCCATGACCAAGGCAGGGCAATAGAGCTTTCCCCCTAGATTAGAGTGCATCTCCTGTTGTGAGGTCCTTTCGCGACGACAGGCAGGCAGAAACTCAACAGGTGAAGAGATTACAAGATGCACCTATTCATTTTTGTAAAATTATGCGGGAAATAACGTATATCCTGTGGATTTGCTACTTGCCATGCAGCCTAGGCAGGCGCAGGAGTAAACGCTGAGCGGACGGGACCACTTTCTGCGCATGCGCCCGGGGCGTTGCCAGGGCAACAGGTCCACCTCCGCGGAGGAAACAGCACTCCGAGGACGCGACTGCGCATGCTCACGCCAGGTGCCTCCTCAGAGACGGCAAGGCCGCAACGGTGGCCGCCGCTTTCAGTCTTAGGCCCGCCTTCTGCTTCATCCCGCTGCTCCGAAACTCACCAGCCCGTTGTGGGTATCCGGCCCAGGAATCCCGCCGCTTCTGGCCGCGTACTCGGCATAGCGAAGGGTTTCCGAAGAGCGCCCGGCTCTTTCCACCATGGCGAAGCGCGGCTGCCCCCGCTACGGTGGCCAGGAAGAGGCAAAACGGTTTGCGGAAGATGCGCGCTCAGAGCCGCAGCCAGGCCCGGATCTGCGCGTGCGCAGTGGCGGAAATGAGCCTTTTGCCCTCAGTTGCAGCGCGGCTGGGTCTGGGCCGGGTGCCCGGCGTTGGGGTGGCGGGGCGGGGGGGGGGGGGGAGAATCGTCCGTTGCACGATTCCCCCTATTATTCAAAGCGTCTTGCTTCTGATTTAAAAAAACAATGCAGCGCAGTAACTGAGTCCTCTCGCTCAAAGGAACGAATGCTTCGTTTCTGTTGCATTGCGTTAATGGGGACTCTGGTTCAGTGGAACTTCTTCCCCACCTGCAAAAGTGTTCTCATGCCCACTGGTGAAAATAAAGCATGGCGAGGTGTCTCTGTGAAAGTGCGGTTCCCCGAAAGGGTGGAAGTTGCAATGCAGTAGAAGGACAATGGCCCCAGGGCTCTGGGAATCTGGGTGGCAGTTGGCATGCGCAGGTGCGCAAGGGCTTGGCTAGGAGATGCCCATCAGATGTGCTCAGAGCTGGCCGCAGCGTGCCAGGGATCTGAGACAGGCCTTGCTGATGCCAAGGTAGAAAGCCTCAGCATTTCTGGGTGCCCCTACCCAGGAGGGAACGAAAAGAACACAAAATGAAGAAAGGGCGCATGTCTGGGTGAGTTTGAGCTTGCCCTCGAAAAGGCAACAAGTGAATGTGTGTCACCGTAAGGATTTAGGAAGCCCCCCTGGGAAAAGGCGACGGGAAACGCCTCCCGGCTCAGTTCAGAATGGCTTTGCTATTTATGGATGCACAAATCAATAGGCAGACCTTTCACTGGTCCAGGCATGCGATCGTTGACCCGGCCTGAGAAAAGCCCGCTCTGCGTGGGCACATCCTTGAAACGCAGCTGCCACCGGCCAGGCCCCAGAGCAGAGAAAAGCAGCTGGCGCTTGCCAGGGTCCAGCAGCTCAAACAAAGGGCAATTCCCACCAGCCCAGCCCGTCCTCCCCCACTTGTGTGTAATAGTCAGGGCATCTTTTTTGGAATGTAAGTGGAAAAGATCAAGCCACTGCAACCTTTTACTTCTGTAACCTACTGGAAAATGTTAACTGTGTTACGTGTAACCCTCTAATGATCAGTGTTTAGGACTGCTCAGGTGTGCCATCTGGAACCATTCATTGGTAGCCAGTTATTCTCAAGAATACATTCTTTAAAAGAAAACCTTCTGTTGTGTATTTTGGGCATACGCACACCAGGACACAGGGCATTTGGTCAACAAACTTTTCCTGGAGCAAAGGAACCCTCTTTTCTCACACAAATGTTACAGTGCACACACATTATCATATTATCCCCTAGAAAGAGCAGCTTCGTGTCCTTTTCCCTGTTCCCAACTCCCGGAGAGTCCCCTAGAAACTCACATGCACTCACTCAAACCCCTGCTCAGGAACAAGGGGTGGGCTTAGGACAGGATGAGGGACTTTGCAAGAAGCAATCAAAATAATTGGCAATATAGAAGATATTCACTGGACAAAGGGCTTCTTGCTACTCTTGGGATCTGGTACTTTGCTGACCTAGTTGTCATTGCATTGAGAGTAAAGAGCTAACATTAGTAGGTTCTTGCAAAATCTGTTGGAGACATCCGCCTTCTGGCAGGCTGGCTATAGCAGTGTGCTCCGACATCCATGGAAGGGTTTTTACCTTCTTGCCCTCTATTTCAATCGACTGCATTAATGGCTCCTCGCTGATTTCTTTGCCCAAATGCTCAGCTAGTATGAACTGACCGGGGGCAGGTCTTAGCAGTACTGATAATCTAAAATTAAAACAGAAAACATCCTTATGCGCATGGTTGCTATTCTTAGTGACGCTCAGGACAAAGGATTAAATATAATTCAACCTGGTTTGACAGATTTGCACGGTTGCATTAGATGGGATTCTACGAGGTTTTCACAGAACTGAGCCATGTGCAAGACCTGGTATCTGCACAATAAATAAGATTTATTGAATTTGCCCAGCACGCTGACATTTCTTATGTGTGCCATAGGATTCGAGTCTCTAAACACACACAAGAGAACCTATCTGTTCCTACTGCCAAAAAGTCTTTATCTTTAAGTTTACTGCCATGAAAACATAATGAGAATTTACCCATGCTGAGAGAGAGAGCACTCCTACTAGAAATACTTGGGAGAAGATAGATGATTATGATCTAGCAGTAAGTTTTGTCCTGAAAAATAAAAATACATTCTTCTGCAGAAGTTTCCATACCAGACTGTTAACCACTTCTGTTCCACTTCCTTCGGCTCCCTATTGCTTTTGACTTCTTACACACATCTTATGTGGACTGTACTAGGGGTAACCCTCCAGTTAAGGGTGTTGAAGATTTTAAATTTATGCTTAGTTGTGTTGTTCTGAAGTTCTGGAGATTAATGAAACTATTGTGGAGGGGAAAAAATGAGTGCCAGTGCTCCATATGGAACTTTGGGTTCTAATATTGAATGCCATAATTGTATGGTACAATTCCCATGTTGGTATCCCATTTTGATATAGGTGGCAGACCCTTGAAATGAAGAGTTTTCTCATACCTGGGTGAAGCTGGATTTTTGCTTGCTTGGGTTCAAGCCTAGCACAAGAGCAGCCTGTTACACTGTTGTATAAAGTGCATGTTGGTTGCTGGAAAATGGCTTTGACCCTGGCTTGAAAGCAATAACATAAAACAAAACAAAACAACATAAATGATCCAGCCAGCATGGTCCCCTAGAAGTGAGTTGGAGAATCTTTCTTGTGAACTTGGCTGCCTGGCACCGTTTGGAGATATTTAGAAAAACAATCCTGACAAACGTGACAAAGTATCTTTGCACTTATACTTCTAAATAAACCCTATTCTCTGTTTTAGAGGCATGTTTTTTAAACAGGAAACAAAACTAAGTTAAAGCACTGCCTGTAAATGTCTGGGAAGCTGAAAGTCTTGGTGAAACATTCTTCTGTATGCTTCTTTTGGCAGCATCTCCTAAGAAAGTCCTGGACAATCATTAAGACATGTATTTTTTTAGCTATAAGGGCAGCTTATCCTGAAAACCAGTGAGCAGGTAGAAATGCATTCTCTCTCTCCTTTAGTCTGGGTGCATATGTTGTGATTCCTCCACATCCATCAAAGAGGAAACAGGTGCCGAGAAGTACGTGTGATTTGAATACCCTGTTTACCAAACTGCGTAATGCATAGCAGAAAGTAGGTCTCCAGATGTTTTGGACTTCAGCTCTGAGCATTACTGACCGTCGCCTATGCTCACAAGGGCTTCTGAGGACTGAAGTCCACCTGTCTGGACATCTGGCCACACAGATGTGGATCATGTATAGCACATCTGGCCTTTTGTAGAAGCTTGCTGGCGGGACTGTCAACGGGGATGGGCTCACAAGAACATGTGACGCCAGGCTTCTTCCTCCTCTCTGGCTGCCGGTTGAAGTCTGGGTTCAACCCAAAGTGCCAGTACCAACATTCAGTGCCCCAAATAGCCTGGGGTCTGATTATCTGAAGAATGTCTCCTCCCATCTGTCCGATGGTACTTACCTCAAACCTGAAATCATCTGCAGAGGTCCTTCTTCAGGAGGTAAGCCTGACATCTGCTTTGCATCCTTTCAAGCACCACATTTTATGCTCCCAGCATTTAACCATCCAACTTTAAAACTTCATTTTTATATATTCCATTTTATTCTGTTTTGCTGCTATGCTTCTGTGCTGAATAATTGCAACTGTGATGGTGGTTTTCTTTTAAATTACTTTTTGTGCTTGTGTCTTTTTCACTTTTGTTAACCACCCAGAGAGCCTTGACTTTTGGGTGGTATAAAAATGAATTAAACAAACCTGTCACTGAAAAGATATTAAGGCTGGGTGCCAGGCAGGCTTCAGTGTGAAGCCCATTCCGTAACTGGGGGGGGGGGGCTTCTCCTTGTTGCCAGCACCCAAGTCCTAGATCTTGACTGCACTGTTCAGGCCGATGGTGGTTGGGAGAGGCAGGTTGGGTGCAGAGACCTTCTACTGGGCTTGAGGTCATCTTGGAGCCTTCCTGCCCCATGAGCCAGGCATTTGAGAAGCCATATTCTTGTCTAGCATGAAATAATTTGTTCTCAACAGTAACCTAATTCTTTATCTCATCTTCAGTTGCCAGTAAAGAATTGGAAGACTTGGCAAAATGGAAGAAACAGAATAAGTTGGGACGAATTATCTTGGCATCTCAGAAACTGGGTAAGTGTCCCCCCCCCCCCCCCACACACACACAAGAAATGAGATGAAAGATTACATTTCCTACGAAGATTTGAACATTCTTGTTCAGGTGCTGCTTCTTCTTGCTTTTGTGATTTGAAGAATTCAGAACATGTTCCACTGCTCAACTGTAATGAGAACAAAAACCCTCTCTCCTTAGGAAACTAGAGCTTTAGTAGCAAAAACCTTATGATATGGTCGATAACCTTGAGTGAATACAGTGGGAGGTTCCATAATTGCTGAAAATATATTTTTGTGCTTGGCAGAAAGCCAGCGTTTGTTGCTAGCGAATGCATGAAACCAGAGGTAAAAGCAAATAGCATTATAGCAACTTCCTGTCCCTCCAATAATAGAGCCTTAAGGTATATGGTTCCTAAATAATTTGCACTTGAAAAGCTTGATTGGAATCCTTGATCAGGTAATTGTGGAGGGAACACTGCCCTGGGTCAACCATTGAATGCATCTCACGAACTTTTATCTGAAAGTCCAAAATTATAATACTCGTAGTTCGGAAGAGTGATGAAGGGTTGGAAGGGACGAAAAATTGGACCGAAGAACTGAGCCAGTGCTGAAGAAGCAGAATGCTTGGTACAGTAGCATATTCAGCAATTCTTTGTCGGAGGATTTATAACGCACTTTTTAACATAACTGAAATTCAGCTTCAGTTTGCGATTAGCTAGAAGAGGAATTTAAAATGAAGTTTCCAGCCAGTGCGATATTTCCTGGCAGTGGTCTGTGTCCTAGAAAAGCTGAACAG